TAAATCAAAAATGAGTGGCGAACATGGGAGCAATATCCATAGAGTTTCACTATGTTTCGATGCCTTATGTTTGTTAATGATCGTACCTCATTAAGGAATCCATTATGATCAACATTCTCAGATGATGATGAGTGAAGTTTCTTGACAGCTACCACATTGTTAGGTTGTATCTCAGCTTTGTACACGGTACCATATCCTCCGGTCCCAATAGAGCATGCTTCATCAAAATCATTTGTTGCTTTCAAGATGTCATCATACACTACTCCTCCATCAAAACTTGTAATGGAAAAATAATCTCTGCTTTCTTCGTCCAATGGTTTATGTGGAGACCTTTTCTTTTGTTGTCGATAAGCAATGAGGCCATATGTGAACAAACCAAGTAAAACAGCTGCCCCGATAAGAGGGAAGATAATACAAGGATGACCCCATGATGCGAGGGATTGTTTTTCTTCTCAATCATTTGATCTGCACAAAGTTTCACTCCAGTAATATTTCCACAAACACCTGGATTGCCTTCTATGGACGCATTCACAAAGTTGGGGCTTTGGGGAACTGGGCCTGAGAGCTCATTGTAAGAAAGGTTGATATCAATCCCATGTGGCAACCTTGTAAAAGCGTTAGGAATAGAACCAGACAGTCTATTGTGAGAAAGATCCAATTTTTGCAAACTTTGCAAACCTTGAATTTCAGATGGTATCACATCTGACAAAAAATTCTGAGATAAATCAAGTTTTGTAAGTTGAACTAATTTACCAATCTCAGATGGAATTTTCTCACCGAGCTTGTTATTACTAAGATTCAAGTAATAAATATGTTCCCATTGACCGATACTTATTGGTAGCGACCCGTTTAATCTATTTGTAGATAAATCAAGTACTTCAATGAGTTCAAAAGATCCGATCTCTGGAGGTATAATACCAGAAAGCTGGTTATCAGCCAAAGACAAATTCAACATTCTTTTCATCTTCCCAAACTCCTTAGGAATCTGACCTGTTAGACGATTGGAAGAAAGATCAAACCTTTGTAGTTGAGTTGAATTTCCAAACTCTGGAGGAATGGAACCACTAAGTTGATTTTTGCTCAACTTAAGATCAACGAGAGATTTCAAAATCACAAGCTGAATAGGAATGGGACTAGAAATGTATCACTTTGAATTGTATTACTTATGACCATCTAGGAAGAAAAAAAAATGTTCACATTGTGTGTATACGTATGGGTCCTACAGAAGAACTGAATTTGGTGCAATGACAACAAAATTCATTGGTAAAACAAATTAATAAGCTGTTTACATTTGACTTCTTTCACTACTGAAAATCTTGATGCATGGAACAAGTCATGACAATGCCTGAAACCCCATCAGCGAATTGCACAGCTATTATGATCATTCCTTTTTTACAATTCTTTTGCTACAATCGTTTCCTGTTTCATGGCATTCAATTTCATCATCGAGTTCAGCTTATAATCAATAGTGTTCAATCAGTCCTTTATCCTTTCTCTAATTTAGCCAATTACATACCATCTTTGAGCTTGCACATTTTGTATGTTAATCAATTTTTGGTTCTCAAATTTTCATCTTACAGTTCTTAATTATATTTCATGACTGATCAGGTTTTTTTCATGTAAATTTAAACAAAAATCCAACGTGCATATCATGTAAATTATTTCTTGACTGTTTGTAGAACCCCTCTCCAGTTTCTGTGTTTAATTTGGTCCTTATAAGAATGAGTTTGGTTGAAGCATTTGATCGAACAGTTGGGCTGCATAGTACCTGGAATGAAATCGTTCATAAACTGGTTCGAATGGTTAAATCTGGATATCCACATCTCATCCGAGCTAAACCCAAACTATGTTTTCATCGATTCAAGGCTCCCATCATGAAACCAGTCTTTAGACGTTGCCTCCAATCATCAAATTTGCAGTAGAGATGAGAATTAATGCATGAATCTTTGATGGAGTTTTTTACACCAAATTTCTGTAATGGAATCGATTTCCTTATATGTTCTCGCCAGAAAATTGTGGTTGCCCGGATAACTTGAGAAGTTCCCTCTGCTACTGCTTCTACTCGATTCCTCTTAAGCTGGATCTATAGACGAATTTTATTTTCTGATTCACGTGCAATTACCCTGAATTTGATCCTCAACATTAAATTCATCCTTAATTCGGATTTCCCAAATCATCACTTCTGACTTTTTTGTTAACTTTAACAACCAACTCTCCAAAACTTTCCTTTTGCAAGTTGTACCTCAATGTTATCAAATATAAAAAAAACCGTAACTTTTTCTAAGAAAATTACAAATTTCCTCCCCATGGTTAGGAACTTTTTATAGATCCAGTCCTGTTTTTCTATTTTCAACAGTTTTATCGCTGCAAAGTCAATTGTGAGGCTTGTCCTCGCTTCCTCCCTTGGTGTTTCCTTGCTAGACATTAAAATCATTAGAATGACAACTTTATCAATTACCACTTTACCTTTATGTTCATGATTGAAGGGAACTTTACCTTTTTTTTTTCTTTTCAAATCTTCTCCTAATGTTACACCCCATGTTTCGGGGTTCAAGTTTTTAAAACAAATTGGATACTTAAATGAGTTCAACTTTCCATTAATGTAAGAAAACTAGATTTCACAAAAAAAAGGAATTAAAATCACTATCAAAAGGGATTCTTGAAGATTACAACATTACCAAATTATTTTTTTTTTACAACTTTTATATTTTTTTACAACATTTTGTAAGACCTTTTTAGACCGACTATAATCTTTTTTACAATTTCTTTTTTTTTTTGGAAGTCAATTATTTTTACCATCATTGAAGTGGATATCAAATTAGAAGGTATGTATTGGTTTCTTTCCTCGTTTTCTTTCACTATCTTAATTCCAACACTCCTTGTATCTAATGGATATAAAGTGTTTGATGAAATGCATGAATGATTTTTTTTTGATGCTACATTAGCTCTATGGTTTGTTCATAGCGTGGTGTTCTGAATTCATAGACTATTAGAAAACAACGAATACTTACAGCCAATAAGTACCGATCTCCAATTATTTGTCAATTCTGACCAAAAAATACTACACACCCAATACAACATGAGAGAAGTAATTGTTCCTAGGCAATGATATTAATATGTTAGCTAACATTCCACTTTCAGATGAACTAAATTTGCTTGTTAATATCAAAGTCTATATATATTGTACCCTACTGGATCTTATAACGTGAATCAATTACAATCTTCTCTATTTTATACTCTGATATTTGCTTTAATATGGTATCAGATCCCGATCACCACTAACCCTAGCAGCCGTCAACTTTGCTGCCCTAAACCTATCTTGCGGCTACTCCAATCAACGATGGCCATTGTTACAGGCTTCGCCTCTACAGAAAAGATAGCCCACAACTCCCACAAATTTACCTTCACCTTATCACCAACAAATTACGGGTACTGGAAGGCAATGATCCAACCATTCTTGGTAACCAACAACCTTTTCGGCTATGTAGATGGCACAGTTCAGTGTCCAACCCAAAAGATTCATGCAACTGCTGAAGCCGCTCCTATTGATAACCCCAGTTATCTTAATTGGATCTCCAACGATGCACACGTCAGAATGGTAATCATCTCAACAATTTCTGAAGCTTCCTTTCAACACGTTCAAGGTACAACATCTAGAGAACTTTGGCTTGCATTAGAACGAGCATATGCACCCAACAATTCATCAAGAGAGTACACGCTGAAGACCCAACTTCTTGTTGGGGTTGGAAAACTCTTCTATTAAACACGAAAATAGAATTACAATAGGAGGAGCAACTCTCACACTCAACTATTACAAAAAACCAACCCTCTCACTAACACTCTCACTCTAAGTGTTATACTATCTGTTTCTCTGTGTTTTTGGGATGCATACAACTGAAGAATGAAGTCTCTATTTATAGTCTTGGCAGCCACCATTGTAGTTGCGTCTATTAGTTGTGTTCATCATAGGGTGGGAAGAAAAACTTGTCCTGTAGGTTTCATTTTGTCAACAATGATGGCTACTATAGCTTTGGAGGCTTTGGAGGCTGGAACACAACAAATCTCCCCCTCCAGTCTCCGTCCAACAATCCTCATCCCAACTATGTCAGCACATAGTCTGTGTTTCTCTTCTGTCACCACATTTGTCAACATGTCTGCCTTATACTTCATAGTATTTCCCTTTCCGTCTTTCTTCAACTTGAAAACCCACTTGTTTTTCAAGGCTTTCTTTCCTTT